GCTGATCCCCGCCGGGGCCCGTCTGCACGGCCAGCGAGAAGTGCTCGTCGCCGCTCAGCTCGTAGCTCTGCAGGGAATTTCTTCCTGAATCTGCGTCTTGTGCTTCCCGGAGGGAAAATCGCGATCCCGGAGCTGTCGTCTCGCTCACTCTCAGTTCTTTTTCTGCCTCGCTGAAAGTGGGTGCGTTATCGTTAATGTCCGTGATATCCACTTCGATTTCATAAACCTTCATTTCCCCCTCCACTATCAGCTCACAGCGCAGCACGCATTGCTCCACAGTCTCGCACAGCTGCTCTCTGTCGATCCTCTCGGCCGTCACTAAATGTCCCGTCTTCCCGTGCAGAGAGAAATACTGCGTCCTACCTTGAGTGACAATGCGGGCGCCACGGTCTGGGAGCGCCGGCATCTGCAGCCCCAGGTCTTTGGCCACATCGCCCACGAACGAGCCCTTGGGCATCTCCTCGGGCACCGAGTAGCGCAGCTGCCCCCACGCCGCCTCCCAGGCCGCCAGCAGGACGCCCCAGAGCAGCACTCGCTGCCGCCGGCCCCAGCGCCTCCCCGCCGCGCACATCTCCGCCGCCGCACCGCCGGCACCGCAACACCGCCGGCAGATCCCCGCCGCCGGCCACAGGTCCGGCTCCCTTTCCCGTTCCGACTTGCCACTCCCGGGCGGTGTCGCCCGCCCCTTTGCCTCGCTGTATCTTGGATCCGCACCGCCGGGACGATCGGAAACAGACCGCTTCCCGACCCCGGAATCCAGCGACACAGCGATCCAGCGAGTCCGCAGCGGGCGGGGCTGCAGCGCTCCGACCTTCCTCTCGCTCCTCTCGGTCAACAGCGGCGCCCGCAGCCTCCTCCCGGCACTGCACGCTCCGAGCGGGAACGAAACATGCCCGCCCTGCCTTGCCCACGGGAAGCTCAATGAGACGGGACATTCGCCACGAAAATGTCGGGTCCAGTCCAGCGGACACTTGGCTTTATGTTCTTTCTACCGCATCGGAAAATATTGATGGGATTGTGATAATCTCTAGATACAAAATTCTCTTAATATGGCTTGAAGAGTATTACTATTCCATCATAGGAAAGCACTGCATCTTCCCTGCAACTGCACAGCTTTTTGTGTCAGTCGTTCTCTAGTGTTTTCTCACTGAGCGTCAACACTCGAACACCTCCAGCCACAGTAGATTCCCAGACCCAGAGTAATTGCACATAGCAGGGATAAATACTCCTCCCCAAAAGCAGCCATTCTGGGGACTGCCCTTCCCTCTCTGCTTTTTTACTTTTCACTTGCACATCCGAGGCTGCTCTGAATCAGCCTGCATTGCTTTCCTCCAATCAGTACTTCCCAATTTTTCATTACATCCTAAACATAAGGCCCTGCTTTTGCATACAGCTTAGTGCTCCATAACTGATCACAGCCTTAGCGAGAGATGCTATGAAGCAAGGAAAGTACAGACTTGGTGACAAAAAAAGATGAAAATGAAACACAGGTTAGAACCGAAGAAAGCAAGCAACCAACGAACCACATTGATCACATTCAATCTCTCTGTAGAAAAGACATCTGAGGAACAGTAAATAAAAAAGGACCAAACTCGGAATGAGAAATAATCACAGAAACAGAACAAAGAAATAAACTGATCTCATCATAGCTTGTCATTTCTGTAGCCCATTTACACCAAAAACTGGGACGGCAGAGGTGGAAGGAACGCATATTCCTTAGGGAAGAACAATTCTCCCTTCATCCAGTAACTTTCCTTAAAACTCCAAAATAACAAACAGTTATTCTGTACCCTGCTTCTACACGGTACAGAAGGATCAGGAGGGAAAAATCTCATTATTGAGCGTCAATCGCATTGCCAACTCCACCACGCGGAATTAGCAGATCTCGTTCTAAGATCTAAGTATCCACCTTCACCGGGACTAACCCATAATATTTCACAAAACAGGGTTTGCAGAAAAACCTGAGCAGCTGAAGAAAGAGGTGCTGTCGCTACGTTACTGCGCTGAGAGGAAAATTAAAAAAAGCAGAAGGTAGAAGCAGACCTTTACAAGTCCTCTGCGGTTTTAGGCAGCAAAAGTTGAACAACAACAACTTCCCAACAGAGCCGACATCTGTGACAGCTCATAAGGCAGGAAATGCCGGATGGCAACGCCTGATGCCTAAAACGGGGCGGAGTTATTACCCGCGCCTGTGGAAACAGCGACCGGCACTAACTGCACCAGAACAGATACAAACCCCAAGAGCCCACTGCCACCTGCAAACCCTTAGGAAAACGTCAGAAGGAGGGAGTGAAGGGGCTTACAGACCTGCGGTGGGTCGGGGTCGGCGGGCGGCTCTCCAGCGACGGCGCTGCTGCTCAGACTCGGCTTCTCGCAGGGCTCCCCGGCCACAAGCTCCTCCGCGGGCACGATGGGCAGCGGCGGCGGCGGCCAAGCGGCCTCGGGGGTGGCGCGGGGCGGCGCCGCCACGCACAGGTTGTAGGAGTAGGGCAAGGTGCCCTC